GGGGGGGGGGGGGGGGGTCGGTAGTGAGTCTGACTCGACTCGCTTCTTACTTCAATCGTTAGCTTACGAGGAGAAGGCCGAGCGAGATAGCGTTAATGATGGCGCTACTCTTCTGTTTTTGAGGTTAAGGCGGCGAGATAAACCATGCGTTGATTGGACGGAGTATGTGAGAGTTGACGGGAAAGCGGTGCTTCTCGGCGGCCCATCTCGGGTTGCAGAGGACCTAGCACGCACACGAAGCCGTGCGTGATTGGTGGGTTGTATCAATTGATGAAGCGATAATTAGCCTCGTTGGCACGGTTGTTGTGCCCCTGAACGTAAACCAGCTTGTGTCGGTGAGAGGCATGGCGATAGAAGTGAAAAGAGGTGGTTCCATCGCTATGGCCGGGAAATTGTCTACCATTCCGTCTTTCGAGTGGTTGTTTCCCACAGGAGGGGCGGTATATATGTGTTCTATGTGTGCGTTAGGAGTTATTGGGCCAGACCCGTGAAAAGTATATTTTGGTCTTTGCGTCTGACCTGACCTGACTCGACGTAAGAGTGACGTGATGGTGTTTATTTTGTGGTGGGTGTGGTATATATTGATAGGAACACCCACCGCATGGCTTGAGTAAAGGCAGATAGTGATCGGTGCCGTGCCAGGCGGCGGTGTCGTAGCGGGTGGGGATTGAGTGAGGACCAATCTTGGAACGCACCCGGTCCTTGCTATGGCAGTGGGGACGATGGATGGCTATGGTGGTCAGACCATGACCCTCGCATCCCTCGAACACGTGCAACGAGCACGAGGAGGAGAGGGGAATGGGGCGGCAGCGGGAAAATAATCAAGTCGCCGGGGTTTATCGCGTTGCTCAGGCACAAAAATATGACATGTTTGGGTTTATTCCTCCTGTCGTATTGTGCGTCGAGTGTGTGGTGCGGGGGGGGGTGAGAAACCAGGAGGGGACTTGTTGTGTAGGGTTCCCGCTCAGCCTCAAAGGCGATTTACGACTACGTTTTACGATTAGGCTCTATTTTTCTGATGGGTCGATATGAATTAACTAGTCGGTACTACTGTTGAACACACTTCAGTTGTTGCCGTTGCTGCCGCTGGAATCAATGCTTAGCTGAGCGACGATGCTTCGTGGTGCCTCACATGTTCGGCCATGAACCAATGAGTCGGGTCTCTTTTGTTTGTAGTTTTGTACGTTCGTGTGGGAGCTGTTCGCATTTGACCAGGTTTTTCGACGGCATCCCTTTCCACGGTCGCCATTGTCGTAGGATGAACGGTGCTTCACCGTGCTGTGGGCGGAGCAGTGACGATGATCCATATCCTTTTCTATTGCATGGAGCGAACGATGGGATATCGGTGTGGTGGGACCTGTCCCGGCAAAGATCCACAATCATTGGCAGGCCCAGGTAGTCGCGGTGATTCGTCGGCAGGCGTGATGATCGGGGTGACGTAGGGCGCATCAAAAGGGAGTGTGATGTGCGTAACGATAATTATTTTCGACAAATTTTGACGAGGGGGGAGGAGAAGGAAAAGTTTGCGACCAAGGAAATGTGCTGTCCGCCTTCGTACCAATAGCAACTTCTTTCCAACCCTTGTTGCCTTTTTCTCGTGGATGATGAGTGGCCCATTGTTCGCGGCCAGATCATTCGAGGGTGGTCTAAACAGCGGGGGGTTCGGGCGAATCTTTTCAAACGAAACCGGTGTGCACGGATCGCGATTTAATCGCTGGCACGCACACGTAACGTGTGTTCTTTGCGGTTTCGGAGCGAAGAGTCAAGAAACTTGAGTATTTTACAGTAGGTCCCTCCAGATACTAATTCGGTTCGGGTAGGAGGGCGGGGTAAGGGAGGGTTGGTGATCAGATAAAACGCGATCAAGGAGTGCAGGAAGTACTCTGTGGGTTCGGTTATAGTCCGCTCCCGGAAGCAAAGGGTTCAGGTTCAACTAGTTTTTTTGCAAATTGATGATTGGGCAGCGATAATCGACTCGGCTATATGTGTTGCTGAACAGGACCGGAAGGAAGGGGGCAAGAGGCGTTGTAGATCCGAGTCGGATGAGTGTGTGTGTCGGTTGAGTGTAAAGTGGTTGTGGGCACTGTTTGGTTTCTGTGAACAAGTAATAATACCTGCGCTTGACTGGTAGTGGATATTGAATGATCTGAAGTAAAAACATCGCACAATCGAAACGGTTTATTTTGGTGAGTGTTGTTTATTATATTTATGGGGGCGTGGATAAAATGTAGGTGTCATATGGATAGAGACGGATACTCCTCGTAGCATGAGATAATCGCGCACGGTGGCGTGTGCGCGGCGATTCGTTGCAAACGATCGACGCTGTTAAAATGGTGGTGCACCAGAGCAAGTTTTGCTCGGTGGTGTTGTGGAACGCGTTACCCCATCACGTGGGCGTTTTCGTTTCGAACAACAATGCGCCCGCCGTGTTTTCTACGTTTCCTACCATGATCAGATTGCGTGACAAGGTGGTTTCGAGGAATACGACAGTGTCTCGCAACAGCGCATGGTCAGTGATTTCAGCTTACTCTGCCCATGCGGAGGCTGGCTCGAAATGAGTCGGCGTTGAAAATTTGAACGCATCAATGTGCAGTGTTGTCCTGGGTTGGAATATTTTGTCGAACAGAACAGAAAAGGTTGGCGACAGGGTCAGCACTGAAGTGCCAGACTTACCTCTGTCGCTTGCTGGTTGTGTTTTGAGCAGTAAAATGCATGGCATCAATTCCCGACTGCAAGCAAGGGTTCAAAAAGTTTGAACGCTTCTCTGCAGTGAATCAACGTTCCAACAGCGACACGAGGTGTCCGGACCATGAACATGTATATCGGGCCGGATGCTCATCATCGGGAGGAGATCAGGGCGCGTCCCTCATATCCACAACCGAGCAACGGCTGGTACGGTTTGCAGCGAACAGGGAAACGATTAGGCCCTTTCGCACAGTGTTGCATGCCGCATATGCGCGGGTCAAAAAGGAGTCGCTCGTGGGTTTGCCATGGCCGAAAACGACGGACGCATTGCAACGAAAATAATAAAACCAGACAAGACCAGGCAAGAGCTCACAAAACATTCCCTCCGCAAACTTTCACGTACGTACGCAGCGACCTTTCCTTTTGCTTGTAGTATGTCAGTCCAGCGGGAGCATCCCCAGCAAGTGGTAACAAACTGTTCCACCAAAGCAACCAAGAAAAAAACCATCAATGCCTCTCCAACATCCGCACACACATTGCGAAAAGCTACGTGCGTCGTACCACCAAGGGATGCAGACAGCGTGGCGTTCACGTCATGTACCGCCCGAAGGTCTCCCCGGCCGCCACTGCGCCCAATATGGTACCACACTTTCCCAATATGGTACACACTTGCTACCAGTTTGATAGCCCAAACACCACACGAGAAAAAAACAAAGCTAGCAGCTTTAAGTCTACCAGCATGCGCTCCTGACTCAAAATCACACAGGAGAACCGTTTGGTGTACCGGAGCCGCCGGCGCTCTATTTGGCGAGGGGTTGCCGAGAGCAAAACGTATACTCCTTTCTTCCAACGTAGCAAGGTACACCCCCAACATTCACACATTTCCCTCCGCGAGCCGGGCGCGGGAGACAGACGTCTCAAGCTGCTTGGCAGCGGCAGTCGAATCGTGGCGATGTACATCTGGCTCAACACTCACTCCCGTCTCTCTTTTCGGATTCCCCTAGTTGTCCTAGCCTCTACTTCGCCGTTGCCGCATTTGCAATCTCTGATGTTTCGTTGCCACTGGCGGTCTCTAGTGTTCTACACAAACTCACGGAGCCAATACCCATGAAACACCAACGGATTGAGCGTTTATGGCGTCTGGAAGCCGAGTAGCTACCGTGGAGGACCGTAAACATCAAAACAGAAAAACGTGCGCCGAATATTTCCACGATTCTAACGGCATCGCCCTCTCCAAGACGAGGCAGAGATCGTGGCATCACGCGTAGAACTCCCCCTTGTGAAAAGCGTAACCGTCCAACCGCTTCGTGGCGTAGCCCGCGAAATCGAAGTCCTACAAAGCGATTGCCACGAAGAGCGAGTGAGGGAGGGACAGGGCCGGGATCTTCCATCTCGAAACCAAACACATCTCACTGCGGGAAGAGTCGGACACTCATCCGTACGCATGGTCATATTGTTCTTGCGAATGACAGGCCCTCGACAGATCAGCAAAGACGAGGCGTCTCCACGAGGCGTCTCCACCTTGGTGAAACTAGCGGATCAGGCCAGAATTGGTTGGGCCAAGCGACTAAGAGTTGCTGCTGTGTTCGGCGGTTCGAGATAGCAACACACAAACAGTCGGAGAACAGGGGCAACCCACTTGCAAACTGGGTTAAACAAATCACCAAGGAAGAACGACAACATGTGCGACTACGACGAGCACAACAATAGCAACGATGACGACCACGACGACGCGCAGTTACGTGGACCTATTATATTCACAGGGCCACCAACGCCTCCGCGTGAAGGAAGCCACGGCAACAACAATAACTACAACAAACGGCTGACCCTACTGTAGACTGAGCCCGGCTAAAGTTCAGTGCAAAAAGATGACAAGACCCCACCTCTATCTCCGAAGTGTTTGCCTGGATCACTGCCCACAGGGCCCACGTGAGGTGGCTGGCCAACGTGTACCGGTTGACGAGCCTCGCGAGCTCACTAATGACGTTGTCGGCAGACTGTGGGCCAGGGGAGATCACACACCGAGCCATGGGTTGACACCAATGCTGACTAGGACGAACGCGAAAAACACCGCGACTGACTTGAAGGAGAAAGACACCCCCTGAGAGGCAAGCAGCGACACCTCAAAACGTGATAGCGATCGAAAACAGGGAACACGCAATAGCAGCATCGAAACCATCACCACCAACAGCAGCAGCAGCGTCAGGAGAAAACCCAAAGCAGCAACATCGACCACTCCAAATCCTGCCCCCAGCAACCACTGCCACCCCCAGACCGACCATTTGCAGCCCCTGACCCACCAACGCCTTTTGAAGAGCCCCAGGTCTTGCCGCCTCCACGTAGGCCCTAAGGAATGCTTGCCGCTGCTTGTCGGAAGGATAACGCCTCCGGAAATCGGCATCGAAGCCGGCGCACTCGCAGAAGTGGTTAGCGATGTCGTACCTGTGGCAAAAAGTAGGCGATGACGTTCATCTCAAACAGAATAAAAAAAACCAAGGAGGAATCAGTCACATGGAAGCCCCTGCAATGTCTATGATAGGGGGCATGTAAAACGTTAGCTCTGCGGCGGAATCCTTAGTACTACCAGCCGTAGGCGGTAGTGTCAGGAGAAGTGTGAGGAGTGCCAACAAGGGAGATTTTCGCCGGCAGCGGCCGCACTTCAACAGAGTATTTGCTGTGAGAATTACCTTCAGTAGAGAGGGGGTGGGGGGGTGTACTCATAGTCGTGCATGCCGTAGTCGTTAGACCATTGACCTCGCATCCCTACAAAGCCGGGACGGAGCACGCCGGGTTCTCACCGGACCAGGCTCTCACATCACCAAGCGCGAAGCGCCGTGAGATATTCGGCGAGTCGCATGAAGGGTGCGCTGCATCCTGCTAAGGGTGTTCGGCATCTTGTGCTTACTTCCTTGCGTACGGATGACAGCTGCGTATGAATTAATTTATTTTCTGGTGCTTTCACTTCCAGAGACAGTTGTAAGCACTGTGTAACTGCCTCGAGGGTGCTTGACCATTTTAACACAACGTGGTGCGATCATCCCCCTTGCGCGGAGTGAGGGTTCACCCCGCACAACATGATCTACTCAACCATCATTATGGTTACCGCCCAAAAAAAATAAACGGAGGAAAAAAAAAAAAACGGTAACCTGGTTGCCGAGTTCACGAAGTGAATTGGCTTGTTTGACAACGTCGTTGCCAAGCGACGAAAACCCAATCCCGATAGGCAAACACCGGGGGGGGGGGGGTGTACTCATAGTCGTGCATGCCGTAGTCGTTAGACCATTGACCTCGCATCCCTACAAAGCCGGGACGGAGCACGCCGGGTTCTCACCGGACCAGGTTCTCACATCACCAAGCTCGAAGGGCCGTGAGATATTCGGCGAGTCGCGTGAAGGGTGCGCTGCATCCTGCTGGAGGTGTTCGGCATCTCGTGCTTACTTCCTTGCGTACGGATAACAGCTGCGTATGACTTGGTAGGTTTTGTGGTGCTTTCACTTCCAGAGACAGTTGTAAGCACTGTGTAACTGCCTCGAGGGTGCTTGACCATTTTAACACAACGTGGTGCGATCATCCCCCTTGCGCGGAGTGAGGGTTCTCGACCCCGTACAACATGATCTACAAGACCACCATTATGGTTCCCGTAAAAAAAAACCCGGTAACCTGGTTGCCGAGTTCACGATGTGAATTGGCTTGTTTTACAACGTC